CTGCGGGGTCTTTCTCAGGAGGAGTTTGAGCGGATCTACCGTGAAGTGGGCACTGAGATGGAGTTTGTCACAGTTTACTTGGTGAGACCATTGCGTACAAGGACATCAGCGGAGGTGACTGCGGCAGTCCAGGAGCTCATTTTGAGGTTGAAGTCCGAAGGTCTTCATGTGTCGAGGGTTCACAGCGATCGTGCTCGGGAGCTACGGGTCCAACCACTTCGGCGATGGCTGCTGGAGCACGGTGTCCTAGTTACATATACAGAGGGACAGGCGCCCCAGTCGAATGGAAGGGCTGAAGCTGCTGTGAAATGGACGAAGTCGTCTGTGAAACGGTTGCTATCTGCAGCCAAGCTGGGCAACGAGAATTGGGCGGTGGCAGCAAACTACGCCGCGCAGGAGCAGTTTGAGCGAGTGCTGAAGGGCTCATCGTCTATGTTGCCGTTTGGGACTAAGGTGCATGTGCGTTCCAAGGTCTATGGCACCGGAGGTCGCTATGATTTGGACTCAAGATGGAAGGCTGGCCAGTATGTGGGACCAAGTCTAGAAGTACGCGGAGGGCATGTGATCAGGTTTGACAATGGGGCTTTTATGACTTCAACGCACCTGAGGCCCTACCTCGTGGACTCTGATCAGATTGTGGACTTGGAAGAGTATGAGGTGAGACTTCCGAATCCGGAGCGACGGCTTCGAACGAAAACCAAGGAAGCTGCTGTTGAACGTGATTGCCAAGAGGTCAACACTACTGTCGACCCCGATCATCCTGCCGAGCTCTATGCTAAGGATCTACTTGAGGAGGAGATCTTGTACGCGGAGCAGATGGAGACTCTGGCTATGATGTTACCAACGACTACTGCGACTCCCAAACGTTTTGGTCCGCAAGCACAGACGCAAAAGGTCTGGATGGCAGGTGCGTTTGTACATGGAGGAATTGCCGGGGTGAAAAATGCAACTACGTCGTTCTCATACAGCACCCGTGCTCTTGTTCGTTATGTGAAGCAGCTTGAGCCAACCCACAAGTTCAACTCCCTTGCAGTTACAGTGGATACAGAGGCAAAACAACATGTGGATGCTCACAACGTTGGGATGAACTTGATTGCTGGGTTGTCCCGGTTTAAGGGTGGAGGTGTTGAGGTTGAGGAGCCCGGCGGTGTGAGGTTACTCGAGCTCGACGGTGCCAACACTCATCAAGTCTTCAATCCGAAGTATCGGCACAGCACGAGGCCGTGGAGTGGAGGTTCAAGGGTGGTCTTGGTGGCTTACTCAGTACGTGACAGTGGAAAGTTGCCCCAGGACAAGATTGATTTGCTTCACAGCTTTGGTTTTGATTGGGAGCCACATCTGTCTAAACCACTTGTTGAAGGCGAAGCCCCGAGGATCGGTGCTATCAAGGTGGGTTTGTTGGAGACTAGCTCACATGCAGTTGCTCCAGAACAACCTCGTGATTCCTCAGACCAAGTGGGTGAAGGCTTTGATCTAGATGCAGTTGCTCCAGAACAACCTCGTGATTCCTCAGACCAAGTGGGTGAAGGCTTTGATCTAGATGCAGTTGCTCCAGAACAACATCGTGATTCCCCAGACCAAGTGGGTGATGTGTTACATGAAGACCAGTTCCGGAAGTGGGGTGACACAGATGTTCTGTCACATCTCTCCCAGGACTTGGAGGTTGCTATTCAGGATTTAGAGGATCGTGCTGCTCGTCTACGGGATCTTCTTGAGGAGGAGGAGATCTTGAATGAGGAGTATAGACGCCTTGGGGACTCAACTCGTGCCTATTTGATGGATGCCAGAGATCAAGTTGGTGTCTTCCTGGACAATGTGCACGAAGAATTGGTTCAAGCAGAACGAGTAAAAAGCGCGATGTGCCTTTGTGTGATGAAGGCTGGACAAGACCCTACGCCGGAGGAGGAAATCGACTACGAGCTGTTGCTTGATGGATTGGAGGAAGACCTCAAAGTCGTGCATACCGTTCCGACGCCACAGGTGCGAAGGGCCTTGGACCGGTGGACGGCAGCTATTCGTAAAGAAGTGGAAGCGTTGTTTGCTTCTGGAACCCTACGCCGAGCTACGATAGAAGAAGCCCGCAGCTTGGAGGCGGAACACAAAGTGACGTTCGCACCAGCCAAGTGCATCTTCACGCTAAAACCTCCTCAGACCCCTGGACAACGCGCAAGGCGCAAGTGTCGCCTTGTGATATGTGGGAATTACATCCGAGATAACTCCGATTTCGGAGACCTCTACGCGGCCGGTACTTCCACAGACTCACTGCGATTATCGCTAGTCCTGGCAGCGATCGGAGTGGGTGGGCGCTATCAGCGACATTACTGGAGCTTTTCTGCTTGCAGAATGGCCGGAAGGTCTACCAAAATATGGTTTTTACCCCCCTCGCCTGGTCCGCGATGCTGGTTTGGCTATCAACGAAGCATGGATTGTGGAGCGCCCGTTATATGGTTTAAGGGAATCACCAAGGATTTGGTGTGATTTCCGTAACCGGAGGTTGAAGACTGCAAGGGTGAGATGTGGAGACCTCATTCTAATACTGCGGCCAACAATTTCGGAATCCGAGCTATGGATGATCTTGGATGAGGTCACCGGGGTGTTGTATGGGTTGGTCGTCCTCTACGTGGATGATATTGCCTATTTCTCAACTACGGAGATCATCGAGGCCCTCCACACTTTTGTTACCGAGGCGTGGCCGGCATCTCCGCTGGAATGGATCGGTGACGGTTCCCCGGCCCGCTACTTGGGGATGGAAATTAGGCGAGAGCCACGAACTACAAGTGAGGGAACAGCCTTCTTTGTCTACACCATTGGACAGGGCGCCTACGTGCAGGACCTACTACGTGGACATGATATGGAGAGTGTTACACCTACGGCCTTGCCGGTCCCGAGAGAATGGGTTGAGGAGGCAGAGAATGACGATAGCGTTGAGAGCGACATTGAGGAGGCCACATTAAAGCAGGCCCAACGTGTGGTTGGGGAAATGCTCTGGTTGTCTACCCGTACGAGACCAGATTTGAGCTTTGTTGTCGGACATGCAGCAAGTTTGGTGGCCAAAAGACCGAGCTATGTGACACGGTTGGGTCAGCGGCTGATGTCTTATTTGGCTGGGACAAAGGACTTGCGCATGACAATGGGCCCAACTACCCCAACGGCAACGCCAGAGCTTGTGGCATTTACTGATGCGTCATATGCGCCCTTTGGGCGTCGGTCGTTTGGGGCAGCAGTTATTACCCTAGCTGGAGCACCTGTGGCTTGGAAAAGCGGCAAGCAGAGCTTTGTTACACTTAGCGTCATGGAAGCTGAATTGTATGCTGCGACGCAGGGCTGTACGCTACTGAACTCCGTGCATGCTTTACTGTCGGAGGTGTGGCCAGGTCTTCAAAGAGTGTTGGCGGTGGACAACACCTCTGCTGCCTCAATGCTGTCAGGAGGACCAGGGTCACAGAGGACTCGACACCTAAAGATCCGGGCGTCGTATGTGCGGGAGGCAGTAGAGAATGGAGATCTGCTTATCCGCCATACACCAGGTGCAGTGCAGCTGGCGGACTTAGCAACGAAGATGCAGCCCAGGTTGCGACTACATCAGCTACTACAACTTTGGGGCTTTGTGGGTTTTGCTCAGGATGTTGTTCGCGAGTTCAAGGTCAGAGTGCTTGCTTTCTTCATGGTGATCGCTCAGTGTATATGCCCGAGCCGTGCGACGAGCTTGGAAGCTAAAGAGCCGATCCAGCCTACAGGCTGGGAAGAGCTAGCCTTGCTCTGTTTGATGACGTCCTTGGGAGCTGTGTTCTTGTGGGAGTGTGGACGATGGTGCTTTAGAAGAGTGAGGCGCTGTCAACGACGAGCCATTAAGGCGCGCAAGCTTGAGGAGGTCTCCAAGCTTGCAAAGAAAGTGGCTAAGCAGGAGATTGCCAAGGAGGACACTGACAGTCATCTGCGCCGTCGTGCTAATAGGACGCCTCCTCGTCCAGAGCCTTTTGACTACGAGGACTTGTTCCCTGTTGACAATGCCGAGGACAATGTCGATGTTGCTACAAGTTCAAACAGACCGAGGAGTGCTACGACACCGAGGAGGACCGCGATGCCTGCTACCTCGTGCTCAAGGCCTTTGACACCCCCGCGGGCGGCGGGGTCTACCGAGGTCTTAACTACAAGTCCTCAGAGCTATCCAGATCAGGGTCGTGATGAACGTTGGCGAGTTTGCTTCGATGTCCTTCAGTTGATGATTTGCGAAGAGCTAAGGATTGGACTGCGGCTGGAAGGTACGCATCTTAGTGGCTTAAAGGAAGATCTGATTCGACGACTCCAACAAGCCCTGTTTGACTCAACGAGTACCACCCGCCAGCTCAAGTATGTCTTGTACCTATGGAGACATAAGTCCTTGGACTATCGATGCAGACTACAATGGCGCGACCTCAATGATCGCACGCGTATTTCTTCCTGGATCGCCTATTGGAAGGAAGCTTGATACGCGAGGCTATGTTTAGAGTTGTGTGGAGCACTGCTCGTCGAAGCATGCTGCTGTATAGTACTAGCTGGCTGGAAGCGGCTAGTAAGGAGGAGTGTGGAGATTCTCTTGTCATGCTTCGAAACCCAATGCCCTTTTCGGCTGTAGTCTTGATGACTGAGCCATCCTGTGAGAGCTTGATGCACATGTACACACCAATCAGCTCGAGCAGGCAGTATCTGAACAGCGACACGAAGAACTCATGTTGCGTGTGTGAAAGAGTGAGAGTTTTTTGCGATCGCGTGCTGTGCCATGCCTGGTTCCCGAGCCCTTGATACCCGCAGCCTGACGACACCTCTTGCCATGCGAGAACAG